CGAGGACCTACAGAAAACAGAGAGGAATGTGGAGGAGTGGGTCGATGAGAGGATAGAGGAGATGAACGATGCTGATTTGTTGAGTCGCAAGGTTGATGATGGGTGTTTCGAGCCTAACGAAGTGTTGCAAGCTTTGGAAGTGTATGGGTCTGAGACGAGCTCAGAGTTTGTTTCTGATTCAGAAGGCGATAGAGGTGATCAAAAAGAGGATGATTTTCAGTTGTGTAATCTCTTTAAAGAACAAGGCACTGTTGAGAATGGAGAGGCCGAGGTTGCCTCTGAAGCAATGGATCATGTCAGTGACACTATTATCCAAGATCTCACAGCTCCAGCATCTAAGACGGGTAACATTGCTAGTCAAATTTTGTCTTCTCTTGGGAATGGGGTAGGAGGATCTCAGAGTCAGGTTCTTGATGGTTCTGTTAGGGGAATGGATGATCAAAGAGTCTTGCCGGATATTTTCAGAGCCATGATGTCTGGCTCTACTTTTAATCTTGTGTCCTATAGTGCTAACATTCCTGTAGGCCAAGTAAATGATGCTCAAGTGGGAGAATCAGTTAATCATATGCCCAGGAGAAGCGGTGTTTTTAGTGGAGTGAGGGATAGTGAGGTTGAAACTGAGCATTGGTTGATGGAGTTAAGCAAGTATGCGTTGTGTCCTCTTGAGGAAAATGAAGTATCTCTTTTTAGGCATTTGCTTCAAGTTATGGGATTTTCGTTAGTAAGGTTAAATGGGAGGGAGGGGGTTAGTGGAGAGGAGCTTGGTGTATCCAGGGGGTAACGTGTTAGAAGGGGAGGGGCTTCAGTTAGAAAGGGGCTAGGGAGTTAAGGAACTTGGTGAGTACAATTAATTATGATAGGAGACATGAGGAGTTTAGGGGTGGCAATATTTCTCAATGAAGATTGTTAGTTGAAATGTGAGGGGTTTGGGCTCTCGGAAGAAGAGGGGGGTCATTAGGGATTTTTTGAAGAAGCATCAACCTGATATAATCATTTTTCAGGAAACTAAAGTGGAAGCTTGTGATAGGAATTTCATTAAAAGTGTTTAAGGAGTTAGGTATAAAAAGTGGGTTTTTGTACCATCAGTGGGAAGGTCTGGAGGTCTTTTATGTATTTGGGATGAGAGGGTGGTTTTTGAGTGTGACTCATTAGTTGGAGAGCTCTCATTATCTGTTAAGTTCAGGAATCTAGATAATAGTGAGTGGTGGTTGTCGGGGTGTATATAGACAGGCTTTGTGGGAGAAGTTAGGTGGGTTATATGGATTATGCTACCCCAATTGGTGTTTAGGGGGGGATTTCAACGTGGTTAGGAAGATTTTAGAGAAGCTTACTGGGGGTAGAATCAATAGGAGTATGAGAGATTTTGATGGGTTCATTAGAGGTTGTGAGTTGGTGGATTCTCCTTTATTTAATGCAAGATTCACATGGTCTAATCTAAGGGAAACTAGGGTATGTTCTAGATTGGATAGATTTTTATTTTCTTTGGGTTGGGAGGGGGTTTTCCCCAATGTGAGACAGGAGGCGTTTCCAAGATTGCTGTTCGATCATTGTCCCATTATGATCGAGAGTTGCCCTTTTAGGTGGGGTCTGGCCCCATTTAGGTTTGAGAATATGCGGATGGATCATCATTTATTTAAGGAGAACTTTGCGGGGTGGTGGAATAATGCTAGATGTCATGGGTGGGAGGGTTTTAAATTCATGAGAAAGTTGAAGGTCACTAAAGAGCAAGTGAAGCTTTGGGATAGGGAGGTGTTTGGAAATTTGGAATTATCTAAACTTCAAGTTATGGGTAAGATGGAGGAGATAGATTCTTTGGAAATGCAGGGGAATGAGGTCGAGGATTTGAGAAGAGAGGAGGGAGCTAGGCGTGAAGTTGGAAGAGTTGACTCTTACAGAGCAGATTTTTTGGGCACAAAAAGCAAAGGTGAGGTGGTTAAAGGAGGGGGATGTTAGTTCAAAATTCTTTCATAGGGTTGTTGACGGGAAAAGGAAGAAAAAGTTCATTAAGAGGCTGGAAGTAAGGCCAGGGGTAGTGGTAGATTCAGAGGAGCAAATAGTCGAAGGGATTTTGGATTTTTACTCAAAATTGTTTTTGAAGGATGTGATAGTCAGGCCTGGGTTAGAAAGGATTGAGTGGAGGCCTATTGATTAGGAAAGTGCCATCTGGTTAGAGAGGCCTTTTGAGGAAATGGAGATTAAGGATGCAGTTTTTGAGTGTGAGAGGTACAAGGCTCCAGGTCCCGACGGGTTTTCTTTGGCAGTTTTCCAAGATTGTTGGGAGGTGGTAAAGGGGGATTTGGTGAAGGTTTTCATGGAATTTTATGAGTCAGGGGTTGTTAATTTATGTGTTAATGCCACATTTATTTGTTTGATTCCCAAGAGGGATGGAGCCATCCGAATTGGTGATTTTAGACCAATTAGTTTGGTAACATCACTCTATAAGATATTGGGGAAGGTTTTGTCAAAAAGGTTGAGGGCTTCTTTAGGAGATACAATCTCTTCGACACAAGGGGCTTTCGTGTAAGGTAGACAGATTCTAGATGTGGTGCTGGTGGCGAATGAGGTGGTTGAGGAGTGTAAAAAGTCTGGAAAGAGGCGTCTTGTATTTAAGGTAGATTTTGAGAAAGCATATAATCATGTAGATTGACATTTTTTGGATTTTGTGATGGCTAGGAAAGGGTATGGTGAGAGATGGAGGTCTTGGATAAGGGGATGTTTAGTGTCTTGCAATATGTCGGTGATAGTCAATGGTAAACTGGGGCAGACTTTTAAGGCATCTCGAGGGTTGAGACAGGGAGATCCTTTATCTCCTTTTTTCTTCATCATGGTAGCGGATGTGTTAGGAAGGATGGTGGATAGGGCTAAAGAGGTTGGTCTGTTTGAAGGCTTACAGGTTAGTAGAGATAAAATTAGTGTGACACATTTGCAGTTTGCGGATGACACTATTTTCTTCTCTTTCGCCGAAAGATCGGCGTTGGTGCTGTTGGCGGAGCAATGTAGTCGGGTTCGGAGGACCAGCCGAAGAGTGGGGTCCACCATACATCTGCTGCTTAATCATCCATGACTGTTGTTGTTGTTGGTATTGAAGGTGGTTCTGCTGGTGTGGCTGAACTATGCTCGTTGCTGGTTGCATCATCGTGAAAAAAACCTAGCTTAGATGTGAGAGAGAAGGTATGTATAGAAAAAATTTAGCAGACTAGGTGGAGGTCCGGCGGGCAGCTAAGGTGAGATTGCCGCCCGCCGGGGAAGCGAAAAAATCAGGTTCTAAACCTGCTCTGATACCATGTTAAAACTCTTGTATTATTGATTGATGTTTGATTGATTTATGATATATTGTGTTAGTTACAAATTCCTATATATAGAAGAAAATGTGGTAGTAGGTGTAGGAGTGAAGTGGAGGTGGTAGGTGGAGTGTGTGGTAGTGGAGGTGAGTGGAGGTGGTAGGTGATGATATATTTTAACAAATTCCAATTTATTTCATGTCTGTGTTTAAGGTTCTAGTCAAGGTAGCAAAATCTATTGAGAAATTAATGAGGGATTTCCTATGGGAAGGGAAAGATGAGGGTAGGAGGGATCATTTGGTGAATTGGGAAACGGTGTCCTAATCTAAGGAGAAAGGGGGTTTGGCTATTGGTAATCTAGTGGCTGGAAACATGGCTCTGCTGGGCAAGTGGTTATGGTGATTTCCCAATGAGTGTCGTTCATTATGGCATGTGGTTATTAAAAGTAAATATGGATTCAGGTTAATAGTAGGGACTCTCAAGTGTCTCGAGGGGTAGCGGTCGTGCTCCTTGGAAGTTCATTTCTCAGATTTATCCAGCTTGGTCCCAATTCATTTCTATGAGGGTGGGTAATGGGGAAATGATCAAATTTTGAGAGGATGTTTGGGTGGGTTCGATGTCCTTGGCTGGGTCATATCCACTTCTATATGGTGTTTCTCAATCTCATAATTGTTCTGTTGCGCCTGTGGCGGGTTCTTTGGTGGTTCCTTTATCTTGGAATTTTAATTTCCGTCAGAATCTTCATGACAGAGAAGTTTCGGAATTGATTTTTCTTTTGTCAAGGTTCGAAAATGTTTCTTTGTCTCCAATGTTGAAGAATAGGTTGGTTTGGAATATTCATTCGTCGGAGTCTTTCACTTGTAAGTCCTTTCTTGATAAAATTATTGATAATTCTCATGTCCCTCAGTTTTTCATGTGGATTTTGGTTCATGGGGGCACTCTGACCAATGATTCATTGGAAAAGAGGAGACCTTCGCGGTATCTTAATCCTCAATGGTGTATCATGTGTTGTAGAAGTGGAGAATCTTTGGATCTTCTCTTTTTGCATTGCTCGGTGGCTAAGTGTTTATGGATTAGGGTGTTTGGTTTGAGTAGTGTGATGTGGTTGGCCCCAAAAGGATGTGCTCAAATGTTATTATTTGATTTTCAAGTTTTCGTAAGATCAAAGAGAGCTAAAGTACCGTGGGGTGGTATAGTCTTTGCAATTTTTTGGGTTGTTTGGTTGGAAAGAAATGCTCGAATTTTCGAAGGAGTGGCCCGGGATATAGATTACTTATGGGATAGGGTGAGATACTTGGCGTCTTTTTGGCTCTCGACGAGCTCAGTATTTTGGGAGATTCTGCTTTTTTTGCTTGCTTCGGATTGGGTGTTAGTTTGTTTTATGTAGAAGTTTTTGAGTTTGGTAATTTTGTTTTGTTGTATTTTCTTTTCCTATTTTTGGTTTTTCTATTTCTGCTGTAAGAGGATATCTTATCCTCTTTTTTTTTTCTTGGCCTTGAGCCTTAATAAATCTTTGTTTGTTGCTGATCAAAAAAATAATAGTGTTATATACAATTATATAAGAAGTATCCGTTGAAAAGTATCCGACACATATCTCATACCCTTGTCTGAGTGTCGGGTGTCCGACACGGGTATTTGATTTATTTTGAAGAGTCCGTGTAACATAATGGCAGTGTTTAAGTGAATATACAGTTTCATTCAGAAAACTTACAAATTCAGGGTTGGGGAAAGACAATTGTATTGGGCGTGGACAAGCCAGGAGCGCATTTGAGCTTGAATTCTTTTGAAGTCCTTCACAGTGGGAAGATACTCACAGGATCCCTTTTTGGAGGTCTCAAAGCTAAATATGATATTCCCATCCTTGCTAAACGTTACATGGACAAGGTAATTTAATATTTTAGCTTTATATTTATTTTTATTTTTATTTATTTAATTTTTCCTTCCTTCTTACAACTGTTTTCCTGGACAATTAAGAGAAATCTGGCTTGATTAAATTTGTAAATCAAGAGTTCAATTTTTTATGATTTCACCTTGTTAATCATCTCTTATGTTTTTGTGCTTTCAGGAATTACAGCTGGATGAATTTGTCACACATGAGATGAGCTTTGAAGACATCAACAAAGCTTTTGATTTACTTCTTGAAGGAAAATGTCTCCGATGTGTGATTTGGATGAACAAATGAGTATGTCCCTCTGATGTTATTCTGTGTCTTCCCTTGGGACATCTCTTATCTTATTGTATGCTTCATAAGATCTATGGCTTTTGGTGTTGATTACAATAAAATTTACACGAGTGCTTACAATAAATTAACCTGCTCTTATTTTTGCTTGATGCACTGCTACATTGTTTTATTAAGATACTGTAAATGAACTAGACGTCCCGGTAAAGTATTTGGTGGGTGATTTCTCTGTTTCATTTGCTGAACCAAAGTGCCTTAGCCGATAAGTCCCAGAGCTAGCCTCTGTAGGCACTTCCCATTCAACGGTCCCTAAGCCAAAAAAGCTAACGTTATCAAAGTTCCACTTAAAATATAAGCTGAAATCATCATCATCATAAGCTGGAACCCATCTTTTCCCTTGAAGCATCTCTACGACAGCAAATGTGCCTTCTGTCAATAGGTCATATCTAGGGTTGGCGCTCCAAAATGTGGCACTTGGTCTATCTCCCTTTTTGAATGAGCCACTTTTGGGTAAAGTTACGTCTTCTTTCAAGTCGCCTAAATTTTTGTCAGGGGGAGGTGAGTTGCCAAATGGGCCAAGTGTGAAGCTGAGCTGAGAAGAGGTTAGGTCTGGGGGTGATGGGCGTTTCTTGACGATCTTTTCTCCTTTTGCCATAGCTTTTGCTAATTTGTTGAACTCTTGGATATATGCTGATAAAGTGTGCGGACCATAGAGTGTTGAAGCAGCCTGCACAGTTCATTTTATGTTGTCAGGTCAATTCTAGTTTACGTTACAACTAACAAGCGACAAATTAAAAAACAACACCCCATAGCATTTCTTCATAGAAACCTAGTGCCAAAACCCCATGAACCGTAAAAATGGAGTCCTGTTTGTCAAAGTTAGAGGGATTTATTACTGTTTTTCTTGGATTAATTGGAAAAGCACAGCGGTTGGAGGAAATAGAAAACCGACTTTATTTTTCAATTTGGATACTATTGCCAACATTTGCTGCACTTTAATGACATGGTGCATTTTTAGATTTAATAACCTCCCAATTAAACCTATATTTGCTTTTTATAGATCATATTTATAAAGCAAGGGACTTGGTGCATACCTCATATCGTTGTTGCTTGTATTCCTCTAAAGTTGCAACATATTGTGAGTAAGTATTTGTAAGGCCTGCTATTACAATGTGGGTTTCATTGTTGAATTCACCGTTCCCTTCACTTATCAGTGTCTCTTTAACTGCCTCCCTAAGTCGCCGGCCAGCCATTGTTGTGAACTCTGTAAATGTTAGAGAGTTGTCTTACACTTTGCTTTGTTTTCCCTATTATATTGAAACAATGCAATTCAGGCTATGTCTAGTGCTTGGTGACTGCAGTTTGAAGTAGCTCATAGGTCTAACTCAGTGTTACCAAAACATGCTCATACCCTAGCTATTTATGTTTTGAAATGTGGTGTATTTTTATTCCAAAATAATGAATTTTGCAATCCAAAACTATTCAATCTAACGTTTTCCCTAATATGTTTCTTTAAAAGGTTTTTAGGAGGAAAAAATCAAATTTAATGAATTACTAAAATTGAAGGAAAACATACCTCCTGGAACAGATAGTATGATGAGTTTGCCCAACCTGAGCATTTGAATTGGGAGAATTGCAGGCTGCATTTAGATCCATAGAAGCAAATTAGAAAAGAGAAAAATCCTAACTGCATTGAAAATTTTTATAGAATGGGAAATAGATATGATCGAATTGGAAATCATGAACTTCAACTAATGGTTGGCAATTGGTTTTTGTTAAGTAGTGGAAGTTGGAAATCATGAACTTCAACTAATGGTTGGCAATTGGTTTTTGTTAAGTATTTTTTGGTTGATTCTTCTCTTTTTTTTTTTTAGTGATTTTTTAAAAAAAAGTTTTACACTTACCTCTCGAACTATTTTTGAATTTTTTAAAGATTAGTCTAAATTAGACAGATTTGAAAAGTACAAACTTTTTTGACATAATTTTTTTTTTTAAAAATCAATAGAAAAAAAGTAAGATTTTTTTTTTTTTAAAGGATGAGAGATACAAAAAATGAGTGAGGCTTACAGCCCAAGCATAGGGTTCAAACATTTCCCCAATGTCAAGAAGAACGGGCTTGGGCTCTTGGCAGTCCAGCTGAAGTTGACTTGGTTCCTTTAGGAAATCTCTTACCCTTTTCCAAAACTCGTTGATCTGCATCCACATTCAGACAAACCATCCCATTTCAAAGTTACTCAAAAGCAATGATAGAAATCTAGGCCATGGAATGAGCCATGAGTGTTGGGGGCAAATCTTATTTGGGCTTGTACAAAGTGAATTGTGCAGCCCAATATTGAGATATAGAAAGGATTTGATGATGGGAATATATATACTGGCGGTTAGCACACGCGTGTGTAATTCAAATAAATAAAATAAAATAAAATATTTATTATATATTGTGTACCACTTCAGTGCTAAGAGTCTTGTTTATTTGATCCAAAATCTAAGATTTGAGTACTACTCTTCACATCTCTCTAATAGAAGCCAAGGCTTTACAATATTATAGGGAGTGTTTACTTTATACATAGGGTAGATAAATATATATATATATATATTGGAGCCGCTATTTCCACTCTATTTTACTCCAAATAAACTTGTTTCTTTGCTCTTATTATACATAGATACTATTCCTACTCCACTTTACTCCAAGTATACTTTCTTCTATATATAAGAAAGACAAAAAAATGAAATATATTTAGAGCAAAGTAGAGTGAAAATAACGGTTCTTATTTATTTTTTTCTTGATAAAACGTGCACCTCAACTAATTTCAAGAGACCAATCTCATCACCTACTTGCAGGAACCTCATTTAAAGCTAGAGTAAATGCCCTGTATAGACTAGTCTCAGGGAACTTGTTATAACTAGTGAGTGCTGAACCTGAAACCTAGAGCGAACACACCTCCAAATCTCAAGTTAGGCCCACTAGGCCAACTTGATAGATAGAAGATAGATAAATATACCTCAGTGTCACCTTGTTTGAAACCAAAAATGCCAGGTCCATCAGTAGTTCCAGCAGCAAAACTTGGGCCTAGGGCTGCAGGACATGTTCTCACTACCTTCCCCTCTAATTCCACCTCTAGATTTGTGAAATTCAGATAAACATGTCGATAATCTATCTTCCCTCTTATTTCATCTTTAGCTGTTGTAAATAGATCAACTGCCTTTTTAAACTGTCTCTCTCCTATGATCTTTGTGCTCAATATTTCATCTGGATACCTATATAATAATTCATTATTAAAAAATAATGTCACTTATAATGATACAAAATATTCTGTTATATTGAATTTTTCTCTCATTTACAATTCAAAAAGATATGAATTTGACGAATAAATTAAAATTTTAAAGGAAGTTTGGATACCCAGGCCCACGACCAACACAGAGAGTGTCATCACCATGACAGGTTGAACTGATGAAATCACATGGTTTTCCGGTGTCAGTGCAAAAGGCTCCAAGAACATTGGGGGTGACATCTCCAACGTTTGATTGGCAAAATGCTCCAACAAATAAAGAGCTGTCCTTCTTCCTCACCTTGAACCCTTGGCTTGTTGTTTTGGTGCAAGGTTGTCCTCCCGTGCTCTTGATTCTCAATCCTCTCTCTAATAATAAAATAATGTGCCATACCAAAATATACTTTCATTAATGTAAGAAATATGATACCGACATAGAAAATAGAACACAAAAAACTCCTAAATATTCATTATCATTGGGCTGTGGTGGATCTAATATGGGTCCTAATCAATTCTTGCTGATACATCGGCCGGGTTTAAGCCCAACTATACTCTCAAATTCGTCTAAAATCAAAACAAAAAACTCCAATTCTGTTTATCTGACTTAGATATTATTTAATATAATTTTTTTTTATCATATTTAAAATAAAATTATAGGAACTTAAATGATTCGAGTCCTTATATTATATTTTTATATTGCTCAGTGGGTGGCTATAAATCATGGATAGGATTGGATTGACTTGGCAACCGTCAGGCCCATATAAACCCTTACTCGTGAGAAATACCAAAAAAAATGAAAATAAATAAAAACATAGAAAAGCTATAGTCTGAGAAATTATTCAAAAAGTTATCACTAATTTTGGATCAATAGTGTATATTGAAACTAGTATTGTAGGATTACATTCTAACATAATCTTGACTATAGATATGAAATTCTTGGGACTTTTCTGGAATTTTTTTATTGTGAGATGGTAGCATTGTTGTAAAAAATTAATAAGTCAATGTGGTAGAAAAAACTCAAAGATGGATGTGGTGTGGCTTACTGGTGGATGTGGTAGAGGAGGCGGATGGTGGTAGTAGGGTGGAATTAGTGGTGGTGGAAGTGAACCAGTCTTCGAAGAACCTAGCGGCTGCACCCTTGTTGTCTCCGCTGATGAGCTTGTTGTCTCTGCTCATTGAAGTCCCGTGTGTCGCGAACCAACTGAACGCTCCAATACTCTTCCCACTCTTTCCATCCACAAACTTCAACAGTGTCATATCCGGATCAACATCCCTCTGGTATCTGGCTCTCTCCTCCGGTGGGTTGAACAAGTATGCACTGGGGCTTCTATTTATTCCTGCATTCTCTACATCTCCTACAAAAAAACCATAATTCAAAATCAATCTTCTTTTCCCTCTTATTCTTTAATTTTTATTTTTAGATCAAGACAATTGACTGAATTTCGTGAAACTGTTAATGCTTACCTTGGTTGATGAAAATGGAACCAGGTTTGAGATTATCATGAGCCTGAGCTATGCTCATTACAATAGCAGTAACAATGGCATCAAATGATTGTGGGACAAAGCCAAAAGAAGTAACTGAGTATATAATGTATTGCAAATACCCCCCTGGTCCAGCATGAGTATGTGTCCCACTGATTGCTATGTTGTCTTCGTTATACAAATCCCCATACCTTCAAGACACACATAATTTCACACCCCATCATTTAAATCAAACACTTTGTATGCAATTTTGTTGATTAATCATAAACAAACAAATACATACATATATATATCGAATTTTTATATAGAATGATGTAATTGGATTGAGACTTACAAAAATGATTTACTAACTGAAATTTTATGCATAGAATAAAACTGTGATAATAGTATTTTTTATTTTTTTTTGTTATAATTTTAAGCCACAATAATGGGTAAAGGTTTGAAATAATAGGGAAACAAAAGTTATATCATTTTGTATATAATTTTGTACAAATATTTATTCCGTATAGCATTTGTTGTTTAAAATTTCTCACCAGAATGATGTAGTATTTTTATAATTAAATATGATTTAAACGATAAGTTTGAATGTAGTTATTTCTTCTCTTAAGATATTTGTAGTTAGGACTCGATTGAGGGATCAATTGACTCTGAAACATAAAGTAACAAGACCATAAAAGTATTTTTGATTTTTTAAAATTTTCTTTGGTTTTTTTGGGCTGAGCTCTGGATTTATGTACCTTGATTTGAGCTTCTCAAGAACTTTAATAGTGACAAGCTGGGAAGCCATACCAGCATCAAGGTTGACAAAAGCAAACCTTTCTCCTTTTGGGTTCTCATCAGCAACAATAAAAGTCCTTGCTCTTAACCTGAAATGTATACCTGCTGTTTTCTGCTCCAAATTAGCATAACCCATCATGTTCACTCCCTCTGCCGGACCGGTCATGTCGTAGCTTCCCACTCCGATCAAGTGTTCCCCATTAGCTCCTCCGGCGATCACTACACAAATTACAACAACTAGTCCGGCAATAATTGAAGTTAGAGATGGGTATAATATGAACATTATGATGTTTTAATTTTCTCATTCTGATTGATTGATTAAAGTTATATATATTTATAATAATTGCATTGGCAATTTCTTAGGACTCTGGTTCTTAGTTAACTACATTGGTTCTTAGTTTACTACATAGGAAGCTTCGTTTTGTTTTAGGATGCAGAGGATTTTTGAGGTGGCAAAAGAGCATCTAGTCTTGGGTTGCTCCGGATGTGGGAGTGTTGACAAGATTTGTTCTTGTCTAATGTTGTATTTGGTATCATTTTGTTGGCCGATGAAATCAAATTGTGTCCTTTTTGTAAGTTTCTAACACATCCATGAACAGAATAAGACAAAGCAATTCACACATTCTTGTGTATATTCACATGATTTTTTTTTCTTTGCAATTGTTAACAAGTTTGAAGTGAAAAATATTTTAAATATAAGTACTGTGGGGAAGTATTTTGCGAATAACGGCACGTGGTCAAGATGACGCCGAAGTGTCAGCCAAGGTGTCATGTGGCCTGGTTACGCTGCCAAGATGATCTTGACTAGGTCGAGGTCATCTGCGGAGATGTCGGATTCCGAGATAAGCAGATAAGAGACAAGAGTCTTAGAACAGAGGAGGATCTCAATCTGGATAAAGATAAGGCTCCGAAGAGTTTATTTCTATTTAGATGAGGGTCTAGGATGAACATTGAGCTTGAGTCCATTGAAGTAAGACTTCTAAAGAGATCAAGTCATTGCCATAAAAGCAAGGTACCCTCGTGGGTCTGAGGTAAGTTCTTTCTTGTAAGTTTAAGCACTATTTGCTATCTGTGAGAGATATTGTTTACTGACTTGATCGTCGGAGTGCCCCCAAGTGGACGAACCACCGCAAACTTCTCATCTTCTTGTTACAGGTTGTTAGGCTTAATCTATTCTGCCGGTGCTTTGCAGCTGAGTTCCCCGATTGGTTGTGTGGCCAAAAATCAACACCCATAATTTGGCGCCGTCTGTGGAAATTTAAGGAGAATAGATGGCCAACAATGGGCAAGAAGAAAAGATCGGGGACGACGTCCATAGTGAGAGTTGCGAACATGCAGATCCTAACGTCTGGGAGGAAAACCATAATGAAGGAGCACAGGATCTGAATCCTAGGGAGAAAGATGTCAGCAAAAAGGGTAACGCCCCGAAAAAAGCTGGCTGAGATGAGTATTACAACGAAAGTGACCTCCAGGTATGGAAGGATAGATGCCTGAGGAGGGACGACGAGATGAAAACAATGGTGAACAAGTTGGTAGACCTACAGTCGATTGTCAACTTCATGATGCAAAACAAAGTGATGCAACCACCGTTCCCGTTGCAGGACATGTCGGTACTAGCAGCCAAGACTGATGCCTAGAAAGAAAGGCAGAAAACAATCCCAGTAGTCCCGCAGCATGGCAAGGAAAAGGAGCGCTCACATCGGCTTTCACGGGATGTCTGGCGAGCAGAGTTAGTAAGAGGTGAGTCGCAGAAGACGTCGCGAACAAAGGGGACCTATGTCAAAGAACCTCGGCATATCCAGGGGAAGAGGTTTTGGTTTGATAGAGTGAATAAAGAGAAGTCCAAGAGGACGCATAATGACACCGGCAAGAGCGCGCCAAAAAGGCTGAAATCTGTCGATAGCCAAGCTCCTGACTGAACGAAGGAGGACTTGAGAGACTATCTCCAAAGGAAGCAGTACAATGCTGAGATCACATCCCCCATCAAGCCGAGAACGCCATTCTCAGTAGAGTTGGATACATTTCAGGCCCTAAGAGGTTCCACATGCTAGGGTTCCAGATTTATGACGGTAAGTCTTGTAAGGTCCCGGTGTCTTACATTGGGAATGTAGGAGGAGTTCCTGGACTATAAAAGTAAAAATCTGGACCCTTATATAGTATCGAGACCTTTTACCGAGTGGTGATCCCTAGCAGAACTCCCCAATTAAGCGTGCTTAGGCTAGAATAGATCTAGGATGGGTGACCCACTAGGAAGAACAAATTCGTGCAGGTGTGGCCCAAAGCGGACAAAATCGATGACATGTGAAGGGTTGGGGCGTTACAAATGGTATTAGAGCCGACTCACCAGAGTACCGAGTGTGGGCCCCTGGCATCTCTCGGTGCATGTGGGTGGGCTTGTGATCTGGCAGGATATTGCACGGGGATGTGCAGCCTTAAGAGGGGTAGATTGTAAGGTCCCGGCGTCCAAGATCAGGAATGGAGGAGGAGTTCCTAGATTATAAAAGTAAAAACTTGGACCCTTATATAGTATCGAGGCCTTTTCCTGAGCGGTGAAATCCTTAACAGAACTTCCCAGTTAAGCTTGCTTAGGTTGGAGTAGTTCTGGAATGGGTGACCCACTGGAAAGAACAAATCCGTGCGGGCGTGGCCCAAAGCGGATAATATCAATGACATGTGAAGGGTTAGGGCGTTAAAAGTCTGATCCGAACTTTCATGTTGGTTTATATTTGAATTTGATGGCTTTGTGGAGTAGGAACGAGCAGTTGTTGTGCAAGGTATTCCCCTTATCCTTTGGGGAGATTGCATCGGATTGGTTCCACAAGTTGCTGAAAGAAATTGTGAAAAGATGGGAAGGCCTAGCTGAGATGTTTGTGGCCAGGTTTATTACGAACAAGTTGTAATCACTAAGGGTAGACTCCCTGCTGGCTTTGAACATTAGCGAGGGTGAAAGCCTCAGGGCTTACGCCAAGAGATATTATGAGATGTTTAACCGAATTCCAGCCTACAACCAGGAGCTGGCAGTTGTGTCTTTTAAGAACGACTTGGACGATGAATGCCCTATTCGGAAATCACTGACAAAAATCCTACCAAAAAGTATGGAGTAGCTCATGGCATGAATTGAGAAATACACCAAGGCAGAAGAGGATACGTAATGAACGAAGACACTAAAGCAAGAGAAGAAAAACGGCTCGCCAAAGCGAGGCCGAGGTAATTTCGATGCAAATAGACAGGAGACAGGATTGAGGGCTATACAAGCAGTCACCACTGTATTCAAGATCCCGGTCTACAAAGTTCTGGAAAGGATCAGGAACCAATCGTATTACGGAGCGCCGGAGAAGATCTCTAGCGAGTTTATGGGAAGGAGCCTTTGGAAGCATTGTGCTTACCATAATGAAGATGGGCACTTGACTCAAGGGTACAAGGATCTGAAGATACACTTGGAGGATCTGATTAGACAGGGTCACTTGAGAGACCTAGTAGATGAGGCCAGGACGAGGGAAAAGTATACAAGGCTACCCTAGGCATCGGCAGCACCACATTCGCCATCACCACCGTAGCAAGCAGATGGACCTTGTGTGATCAATGTGATTCACTCAAAGGTCAATGAGAATGATGTACGAGGGGAAACTTAGAGAGTAAGGCACCTGCAACACGTGTATCAAGTCCAGCAAAAGAAGCCTATGACAAATGAGTTCCAAGGACCGATGTTCCTTTTATTGAAGTAGACCTGGATATGGTGCAGCATCCACACAATGATGCCCTGGTGATAACACTGAAGATTGGAGAATACCAGGTGAGGCGCATACTGGTTGATCAAGACAGTTCGTGTGACAGCCTGTATGTTAGATGTTACAAAGAGCTTGGACTTTACCCAGATGATCTAGAACAATCTGATATCCCGATGGTTAGATTCAATAGGACGCCAATGTGGCCTCTCAGAGCCACGAATTTGGAGGTTCAGGCAGACACTAAGAAGGTAAGCACGGAGTTTACAGTGATTGACACCCCTTTCTCTTACAATATTATTTTGGGAAGATCGTGGTTGCACGCAATGAGGGCTATTCCCTCAACACTGCACCAGTTGTTGTGATTCCCAACTGAACAGGGGATTGAGGAGGTCAGAGAGGATCAGGTGCAGGCAAAAAATTGCTTTATGGTAGCAATGAAGTCCACCTGCAACGTGTGAGAAGTAGAGACAGTAGAAATTGAAGACGAGGATAGGGAGGTCCTCGATGATGTAGGCAAAGAACCAGCCAATAAGAGTGAAGAAGCTTTGAATAAGATTTTGGTCAAAGAAGGTGATGAAGAACGCTTCTTCCTTCTTGGCTCAAGCTTAGCCGATGAGGAGGAAAAGAAGTTAGAGGCTTTCCTATGAGCAAACATTGAAGTGTTTGCATGGACGCCTTATGAGATGCTTGGTATTGACCCCGAGGTCACTTGCCATAGGCTCAATGTGGACAAGTTAGCTAAACTTGTCATTTAGCGAGCAAGGAGGCCGACCTTGTTACATGTGGAGGCAGTCAAGAAAGAGGTGGATAAGCTGTTGGAAGCTCAGGCCATTCGGGAAGTGAACTACCCTACTTGGCTGTCCAACACAGGGATAGTGAAAAAGAAGAACGACAAGTGGAGGGTTTGTGTGGACTTCACCAGCTTGAATAAGGCTTGCCCTAAGGACAGTTTCCCACTGCCTACGATTAATCAATTAGTAGAAGCCACTTTAGGGCATGAAAGGATGAGTTTCTTACAAAGGCTACCACCAGATAGCAATATATGCCCCAGATGAAGAAAAGACGACATTCATCACCTCGAAAGGACTCTATTGTTACAGAGTAATGCCTTTTGGGTTAAAGAATGCAGGGGTAACCTACCAAAGGTTAGTAACCAATATGTTCAAGCATCTGATCAGGAGAACAGTAGAGGTCTATATCGATGACATGGTCGTGAAGACCAAAAAACCTGGGAACTATCTGCCCGACTTATAGGTAGTTTTTGATATCCTGAAAATATATCAGCTTTGGCTCAATGACTCCAAATGTGCATTTGGAGTCAGATCCAGTAAGTTCCTAGGATACTTGGTGACCAAGAGGGGCATTGAAGCAAGCCCAGATCAGATCAAGGCCATCCTTGACTTGAAAAGCCTAATATCAGCCAAGCAGGTCCAGATTCTGACTGGCAAGGTAGCAGCCTCGAATCGATTTATTAGCCAAAGTTCTGATAAATGCAAGCCATTTTTTTCAATTATTAAAGAAGGCCACCGATTTTTTATGGATAGAAGAATGCGAAGTCGCCTTGGTCGACATGAAAAGATACCTGACAACAACTTTAGTTCTGTCAACTCCAATACCTGGAGAAGAATTATTCTTGTACTTAGCGGTATTAGACCACGATGTTAGCGCGGTGGTAATCTGCGAAGATGCGGGGGAACAAAAGGCGGTATATTACATGAACAAAACCCTAACAAGTGTCGAAACCAGATACTTGCCCCTGAAAAAGTTGACACTAGCCCTGGTGATGGTTTCCAAAAAATTGAATCACTACTTCCAAGCCACAAGATTGTGGTACTGACGGAGCATTCGCTAAAATCCCTATTGTAGCATGGAGATCTGACAGTTAGATTAGCCAGGTGGGTAATGGTGCTAGGCCAATACGACTTGGAATTCAGGCCTAGAATAGCAATCAAGGGCTAGGTTTTGGCCGACTTTGTGGCTGAGTTCACTCTTGGTGCCATCCTAAGGTAGGCTCCGGTGAGCTGAGGCTTAGGATGTCTAGGGAAGTAAGAAGAAACCCAACTAGGGCCAAAGAACCCCACACCAGCAACGCAGAAGAATGCAGAAAAACCAAAATCCTGTGATATCTACATCAGCAATTCCTTTCGCCTGTTTGTTAATGGAAGCTCAAATCGTCAAAGAGCGGGGGTAAGAGTGGTTTTGGAATCACCAGATAGGCGAATGATAGAGCAATTAATCCGTTTAGGATTTAAGGCCTCAAACATTGAAGCAGAGTACGAGGCACTGATTGTTGGACTAAGGCTAGCAGTAACAATGGAAGCCGATGATGTGGTAGTCTTTTGTGACTCCCAACTTATCTTGAATCAAGCAACGGACGAGTATACTGTTCGAGATGAGAGGATGGTAGCCTATGTCAAGGAAATAGTCAAGCTGCTAGCACTTTTTGAGAACTGCCGATTACAGTAGGTTAGCCGAGATGATAACAGTCATGCCAATGCCTTGGCAAACTTGGCTAGTGCAATAAAGTCAAGGGAACCAAGGACAATCATGGTTAATTATTTAACAGAACCAAGTGTAGAGCCTCTGATAATGAAGTACGAGGCAATGTATGTAGAGATGGGTCCTAGTTGGATGGACACCATAGTTGTGTTTCTCAGAGAGGGAAGACTGCCAGATGAACGAAAAGAGGCGCACAAAACCTGGTTGAAGTCGGTCAGGTTTTGCTTATCAGCAGAAGGACACCTGTACATGAGATCCTTTACTAGACCTTTATTGCGATGTGTGCGCCCCTCTCAAGTAAAGGACTTTTTATATGAGATCCATGAAGGAGTTTGTGAGAGCCATGCAGGGGGCAGGTCACTTGTCCATAGAGCTATATCCTATGGATATTGGTGGCCATATATGCAGAAGGATGTCGAAGCCTTTGTTAAGAAGTGTGAGAAGTGTCAAAGGTTTGCACCTTTGATACAATAGCCAGTAGCAAATTTGAACCCAGTGTCCAGTCCTTGGCCGTTTGCGCAGTGGGGCATAGACCTAGTAGGATAACTGCCCCAAGCAATTGGACAGAGAAAGTTCCTGCTTGTAGCCACAGACTATTTTGCAAAGTGCGTAGAGGCTGAACCCCTTGCGAAGATTTGAGATATTGATGTGAAGAACTTTATCTAGAAGAACATAATCACCAGGCTTGGGATCCCAAGGGCCATCATAGCAGATAATGACACCCAATTTGATAGTAAATTGATCAAGAGCTTTTGTGCAAAGCACAAGATTAAGAACTATTACTCTATTTCCAGTTTTTCCCAGAGTAATGGTCAGGCAATAGCGTCCAACAAGTCCTTCTTGGATGGAATCAAGAAGAGGCTAGAAGCAGCCAAGGGAAAGTGGGTGGAAGAATTGCCTAATGTATTGTGGGCATATCGGACTCCACCGCGAAGATCAACTGGGGAGTCTCTTTTTGCCATGGCATATGGCACTGAAGCAGTCATCCCACTGGAAGTCGGTATCCCTGGAATCAGAACCTAGGGAGTGGAGAATAGAACCAATGAGGCATTCCTTGCTCGAGATCTGGATCAGATGGAAGAAAGAAGGAAGAGAGCAACAATTCGGCTGGGGGCATACTAGCAACAGCTTGCTAGGGTTTATAATAAGAAGGTCAACCCAATGGAGTTCAAGGTTGGGGACCTCGTCCTTAGAAAATTCGTTGGCAATAAAAAGGATCCTAAGGAGGGGAAGCTTGGCCCAAACTGAGAGGGACCATATCGCATTATCTCGGTTACCGATGAAGGGGCATATCGGCTAGAAGACAGTGATGGCAAGGAATTGCCAAGACCCTGGAACACTTGCAATTTGAAGTTTTCCTACCATTAGTTTTTGTCTTTTGAGATTTATGTAATTATTTTATTAGCCAACATTTTAATAAAACACTAGTTTGATTTTGTTTTTATTGTTGAAATTTATGCGATAGGATTGAACAGTCTTATGATGATGTTTCCGAATGAAACATGACGAATAACTTAGACTTGCCATATGGTAGAGTTGAATTCAACTTGCCTATCGTAGAGTTGAACTAAGTTTGCAATGTTTCCTAATGAAACATGACGAATAACTTAGACTTGCCATATGGTAGAGTTGAATTCAACTTGCCTATGATAGAGTTGAACTAAGTTTGCGATGTTTCCAAATGAAATATGACGAATAACTTGGACTTGCCATATAGTAGAGTTGAATTCAACTTTCCTATGGTAGAGTTGAACTAAATTTGCGATGTTTCTTAATGAAACATGACGAATAACTTAGACTTGCCATATGGTAGAGTTGAATTAACACTTGTTATAGGGTAGAGTTGAACTAAGTTTGATCTAGTTGGATTAACAGAGACACCGAGGTAGAAAACCTTGACTAAGATTTGTTTGACTTAGACTTTGGCAAAAATTGGAGATGTATGCTTAATGTGAACATAAGCGGTACTTAGGTTCACATTAGGGGGTAGGATAACACTTGTGAAATTTTCCTAAAATTTCAAGTAGAAGTTATGCATAACACTTGAGCAATGTTCTAAAATTTCACCCAAAAGTGTCAATAGGCGGAACTATCTGAGATGAGTTAATCGGAGATAGGAGTACTGCTACGTACCTGAGACACCCAGCCAAGGTGCTAGACTTGGAAGGGTCAATTCTTGCCAAGTGAAGAAATGACACTTGTGAAAATGTTTGATAAAATATTTTGAGTGTTGTTTGGCCGAGATAAACATTAAAGGTTTTTATCCAAGGTGATTTGAATGTTTTACTCCAAGGCGTGCATTCATCCAATTCTGGGGACCCGAGATAAAGAGCCAAATTTTTAGACTTGGAGAGATCAGAAACAAAAAAAAATCTAAGTATGGAAAAACATTCAAGGCATAACAAAAAGAAAGATTTGCATTCAACAAAAGGAAACTTGTTCAGATACAAGGCAAAAGGCACATCGGCTTGGCATGAAAGATTACTTGTCCAATTACAAAGCTGGCACTTTGGCCCAACAAAAACTATTACAACTACTGAGAAGCAAAAATTCAAAAAAGAAAGAAAAGTTTTTAAGTATTGGGATCTTAGGTAATGTTTTCCTCAGACTGTCTTGCCTCAGCAATTGGCAGTGTTTTAGCCTCGGCAGTCAGCTGGGCAGATTTGTCGGCTTGAATCTCGGCGCCAATCTCTAGTAAGGTCTCGTCAAGGCTCTTCTCAGTGGCCTGGACCTCGGCCTCAAAAGCTGTCTTTGTGGGAGAGGCATTCTTGGGGACCTCGTCCTCGTCCTCGTCCTCGTCTTCATCCTCATCCTCATCTTCTCCGGTCAAGTCTAGGATTTGATCATTGAGGGTGGGGTACTTGGCCATTACATCGACCTCAGCTTCAGTTGTGGCTTTAACTTCTGTCTCGACCTCGATCTCGACCTCGACCTCGTCTTCGTCTTTGTCTTCGGCCTCGGCCTCAGAAGTATCAAGAGCAGGGGGAAAGGGGACTTGCAGTTGGGTGATATCTCGGAAAGGAGAATCAACAGGGATAAACAGCTTGTTCAGGGCTGCTATCCAGCAGAGGTAATAGCCTTTGTTGCAGGCTTGGTTAACTTGGGCTTTGTAGGCGTCGCGCACATTGGTTTGACCTTCAGCATAGGCCTTTTCATCGGCTGCCTTGATCTTAGCCTCTTTATTATCTAGAGTCTCCTTGAGCTTTTCTTCAGCTTCAGCAGCTTTGACCTCGGTAACCTTAGCCTTGGCCTTGGCTGATTCGGCAAATTCAGCTTCTTTGGCTTTAGCCTCGGCCTTGCCTTGAGCAGTCCTAGAAGCCTTGGCCTTATCCATCAGATTTCGGTTGCTTGCCTTGGCCTGATTGAGAGAAGAGAGGAGATTGGCAGCTTCTTGAGTCTTTTTTACCAAGTTATTCTTCATCAACTTGGCCTTGACTGCATAAGAATGCGCATGCTGGATAGCTTACAAAAAAAAGAACAAGTTAAGAAACTTTGACTAAGTACAGAAAAACCAAAGCGGAAATAGGTGAAAGGAAGTTAAGCAATTTACCAAAACTGAGTGCTGCATTATAAGCGCAAAGTTCTCGTATTCATGGAGCTCGGCCATTTGGTTCATATCGCCTGGAAGTAATAACCGTAGAAAGTGCAGCCCCGACCTCCATGCTTTTTATTGCACTATATCTAGCTCTTAGAGGTCGGTCACCGACCATGACCTTGGGGGCCCAGGTCTGATCACAAGGAAAACTGCTCCCTTCCTTTGGACAATTAGACCTTGGCTTCTTGGATGGTGGGGCGTCAGATGATGCAGCTTCGGTTGGCCTCTTTTCGGTGTCAGCTAGTTTCGATATCAACATAGAATCCTTAGGATCCTTCTCGGATTCAGAAGGAACCTGAGTCACTGTAGCCTTAGCCTTGGCCTTTTTCATTCGCTTCAGCTTTGGCTTGGACTAGGATGGAGAAGAGGAGGATTAGACAATCACAAACCCTGGGATGTCAACTAGGAGGTTCTTAGTGACGGTTGGTTTTCAACCCATCTCGTCGGCGGTTGCAGCGATGGTAACTCTGGTACCAAATGTGGATTGCAGAAAGGGTTGTGGGCTGATTAGTTGGGTCATAAGCCGATTGATGCGTTTGAATCTCGGCACTTGCAACTTCGGGTATGACCAGCGGGGCGTTTGAAATGCGATGTCGGCATTGGCGCTGAGCTGGTGGAATGAATTAGGTAGCTGCAGAAGTTGAGAGCTACTCAACGGGATCAAATGAGGAGGCATGGTCTTGTCTCGGGGAAGAGGTAGTTAGTGGAGTTGATGCGTATGGAGAAGTCTTGTTTCGTTTGGGGACATCTAGCAGGGGAGACTTGTATGTGGGGTTGTAATTCAGTAGGAGGGGGGCTTTGCATTTTTGAGCTGGGAGATCCAGGAGCTTCTTTAGATCTTGGCTTGGGACGTAGGATTGTCGAAATCCCTTTGCTGGTTGAGGAAAAATTGCAAAAGTGAACAGCAAACATTAGCGCAAACTAAAGAAATAAATTGACAAGTCTTGATAGAAACATAAGATTTTCACTTGGATGTAATTCTTACCCATATCCTCTCTAAACTCTGCTCGGCGTAGAGGAAAAATGTGAAGATTGTCATCAGGCGCAAACTCCCAGTTGCTCGAGATGATCAAGTAGTCATCTCTAGCGCCCTTGTTGGAGTCTGGGAGGTCGGCTATAAGTTTGAAGGTAGTAGATCTGGGCTTGAGGTAATATGTGTAACCTTTGTAAGACTTAAGGCCATACATGGTGTAATAAAACTGGATATTGGCTAGGATAATCCTAGTTTTTTCTCGGCGTGCCAGTTCGATTATGCCATTGATAACCTTATATGAGTTGATAGCTAATTGCATGGGGTTAAGTTTGCAGTAGTGGAGGACTTCTCAGAAAAGAATGTCTAAGGGAAATCGAAGTCCACATTCAATGAACGTAACTACTAGGAAGCGCATGGAGTCTCCATCACGCATGATAGAGTCCTCTTTCCTAGCCAACCTAATTTGAACGTCAGCTGCGATGGAGAACTCTTGACGGAAGTACTCTAGTTTGGTCGGGGTATCTACCCTCTACCTGAATATTCCCCTGAGGTCGGCTTAAAGTGCTTTGTGCTAGATTTCAGAAAAAAGACACTGGTATGGGTTTGAGAACCTCGGCTAGACCCTAAACAGACACTAGGGAAAAGATTTTGAAGATTTGAGGGGAAATTTGTTTCAGTTTTTCCTGAAACATATGGTTTCTAGGCAAATCCCAAGCCTAAAACTAAGCACGCAAACAAACGTGCAAAGGCAAAAATCTGGAAAATAGGCCAAGAAAACAGAAAGGAACATGATTCAGAATCAAGAAAGCAACATTCAAGAAATGTGGAAAGTTACAAATTCATGAACATTGAGTAGGTGTGTGCAAATGTGCAATAATCAAGAGCAATGGCAAACTGTTAAGCATCAATTCACGACATTTGACAGATAAATCCAAAGCAATGTTTAGAAAATAATGAAAGAAAATGGAGTACAGATTTAATGGCAACACATGAGCATTTAATAGATATAGTATACGGCCAGTATGACGAAGAACAGTAAAGCAGATTCAAGAACAAGAATTGAGGTGCAATGTTTAAGTATGGCAATCGGAATCAGAGAATGAATAAGGAATTTGAGCAGTGAGAGAGATACAAATAGATTCATAACAGTATCATGTTCAAGAACAGTGAAAAATTGAAAGAACAAATTAGAGAACTTACCAAGTAAGGTCGAGGAAACAACGCCAGAGCGATGCTGTCGGAGTCAGACAGTGACAATCGTGAAAGCAAAGCAATGAATGTTTCGCCGGAAGCGGTGGACGGAGCACTGGCAGGAACTTGAAAACACGAAAATGGAGGTTTGGGAGAGAAACGTTGGAGAGAAAATTTGAGGCACAAGAAGGGTTTTGTGATTGAAAAGTGAAGAGATTGAGAGAGGAAGAAGAGGAGTTTTGTCAAAAATACGAGAAGGCGGCAAAACATAATGAGATGCCTTGGACGACGTGCTTGTCAGGCGGCGTGGGTGTAGACACCCCATTTTTGACCGTCCTCAAGACTTGGACGTCACTGTTTGAACATTAGATGATCATCCATGTTTGTGTTCGTCTTGAGTTCTCGGAGGTTTCGGTCCCGTGCCTTGCCTCAAGACCTCTCGACTTGTTTGTTTTGTGCTTGGTTGTACACCAAACACTTTCGTTTTTGCTTCTGAGGACAAGGAATGGCTTGTTGGCCATCCCCACACCTCACTGGCCTTGGCTTGAGGCCACCGGCTCTGTTTTCTTGCTACCGAACAAATATTTTGGTCGGTCGGCAATGTTTTTGGTCGGCCGGCCATTTTTGTTGGTCAATCGACCATATTTTTCAGCCGACCCCTTTCCATCTGCTTTTGGCAGATATTTTATGCCAGCTGTCACAACTGGCATCCACTTTAGCCCCCTTCCATACACGTGTATGGAGGGATTTGCCTCTTGTTTAGCTTCTCTTGGAAGCTTGAGGATTTGAACCTCTATAAAGAGGGAGCCCCTCCTCCTTCCTCCAGGTTCTGGAATTTAGGTTAGAAGATTTTGTATCTATCTATCTCTATAGTTCCCTCTTTTTATATTTGTGTGTGTGTTTTGTGCCCTAAAGGTGTTTTTGTTCTTAGTTTTACACTAAGACACCTAGTGTTACACCATCCTTGGTTGCTGAGGCTCTAAGGAGTTGTTGTTAGGGTTCTTGGGCTGGTTTTGATCCAAGGAACCTGCTGGAGTTGCTGTTCTTGAAGATGTTCTTCAAGGGTGAGAACTATCTCTTTTATTCCCCATTTTTGCACAAGATTTTAACCTATCTTGCATCTGTTTTTAAGCTTAGCTATAAACTAATAAAAGTTCTGATTTTGTGTGCTTTAGAACTTTGTTTAAGGTCACTTTGAGGTTTGGGATTGTTTCCCCCCTCCAAGGCCTTTTTAGGCCTTGTTTTAGGCCATCAATTTTGGCCATTGTTTTGGTCTTTGCATGACCTCTCTACCACTGAAATCTAGAGGATTTTCAGTGGTGGAGAGGTAGTTTTGAGGTCCCAAATAGGAGAGGGTTATCCCCTCTCCATGTTGTCTTTGATGCTTGCATAAATGGCTTGTGTTATAGCATGTTTACCTAGCTTGTTTTAGCTCCATTTCAGTATACATTAGGCTTTGTTTTGCCATGATATAGCACTGTTTTAAGTTGGTTTAGACATGCCATGTATGCTCCATACACTTGTCTTGTAATCCTATGTTTTGGCCTTAAACATGCGTCATGTTGTAACATGTGTTTTTAGCATGATTTTGGCCTGGCTTCAATGAGTTTTTATCCATGTTTTGGTATGCTTAAGGTCTGATTTTGGTTGTTTGAGTCATCCATGACTTGCTTTGTGTAGCTACCATGCAATCTAGCTTGAAGGCTTTGAATTTTGAACCCCATAGCATGCATTACTTGGCTTATTTAAGTGATTTGGAGTCACTTACCATTTCATTTCAGTCCATATGGCATGCTTGTTTACTTACATTTGATGCTCCTTTAATGCTTGAAAGAGTTGTTGTTTTATGCTCCATGTTTGGACCATTGTGTATGCCATCATGTGTAGGCTATTTAGATGCTATCTAAGTGGGTTTTTGGTCTTGATTAGACCTGCCTTGGGACTGTTTTAGGTCCCCATGGCCCTTTGGGGTTTGCTTCATATAGTCTTGGTTCGAGTCCCGTAGCTAGTTTCCAAATTTTGGGCTTGGTTGCATGCTTTGCTTGATTTGTTTAGTTGGTTTGGCACCATTTCTAATATGATTTTAGAGCTTACAATGTATGCCATTTGTCCATGTTTCTCTTCTTTTAAGTGTTCTTAAAAGTTGTCCTTTTGTGCTTAAGTATTGGATCATTTAGCATGCATGTTTGTACGTATATTTGTCCACCATTTCTCAGCATTTTGGCCACTGTTTTGGACCTATTAGAGAGCTGTCCTTCTTAGTGTAAGTCCATCCTTTGCATGTTGTTGAATACTTTGCTCATCGCATGTCGTTGCATGCTTAAGTTGCATTTTGCATCCTTGTTAGCTTGCATCTTGTCATGTATTCGATATGTTGATTACATGCTTGCATGTTTGCATGCTTGTTCACATGCTTGAGTGGTTTGCATGCTTGTTTCCATGCTTAGGTTGCATAGCATTGTGTGTGCGTTGTCTTTGTCACGCCCCACTTTTTATTACTCGAAATCATTACTGTGGGGATATATTTTCTGAATACCAACACGTGGCATGGTGACGCCGACGTGTCAGCCGAGGTGCCACGTGTCGTGGTAGTTAGGCCGAGGTGATCTCGGTGTTGCCGAGGTTATCTCCGAAGATATCGGAATCCGAGATAAACGAATAAGGGACAAGAGTCCTAAGACGAAGAGGGGACTTAACCAAGATAAGGATAAAGCTCTTAGGGAGTTTATCTTTATCTCTTGAGGAGTCCAAAGTAAGCACAGAATTGGAGTGCATAGAAGTCATACTTCTAGTGGGACTTGGATTGAGTATATTATAAAAGAGAGGCACCCCCGTGGGTCTAAGGTATGCAATTTATGTTTTGAGTATTAAGTTTTGCACTTGATTATCTTTGAGAGATATACTGACTTGATCGTCGGAGTGCCCCCGGGTGGAAGAACCACCGCCAGAGCCTTTTCTTTCTGTTACAGGTTACTGAAGCCATCTATTCTGCCTGTGCTCTCCAGCTGGTTACTAAGTAGGCAGTGTGGTCAGATTTTCACCCACACAATTACCAAGTTCATTAACTTAATTCAATTTCAAAGGCAACATGCGGAAATAAACTCAAATGTTCAACTAAAAGGAGTGAACAGCAACTCTCTCTTTCGAATGCTAATTAAATACAACAT